TCTTGTTGGTTTTCCACTTTTTTTTCTTTTTTTTTTTTTTTGTGATGAATTTTGGGTTATTGGTGTTCAGGTTTCAAGTATTTTATTTAGGTGTGAAAACTTTGATAGAATCTGGGCATGAACAGGTCTATGATGCTGTTGAGAAGCCTCTGCTTTTTGCTCAAACTGCTGCCTTTTTGGAGGTAAATTTGAGGCTATGTTTCTATTGTGCTTATAGCAATAAGTCAGGTTACTCTTTATGTGGAATTATGGTGCAGGGATTGTCTGTGCGGGGACTAATAATGAAATGAATGTTATTCTTATTCCGCATTTTATGCCTCGTAAAATAATTCATAGATTACCGCATAACTTAATTCACAATATTTAATACCGCCAATCAAACGTTGTGCGACAATTATTTTTTCTTATGCGGCCAACCAAACATTGTATTATCTTTAGGCGAGATTTATGTATTATCTTATGCGGGATTTTATGCTGGGATTGATTGGATTAAAGCAGCCTCTTGCAGAAATGCTAGGTAAGCCTCCTTACTTAAGACCCAATGTGGTCCGGTGCAATCCACGAAACGACCCCTAAGAGGTATGATAATTATGGATGTAGGATATAATGCTATATTAAGGGATGGTAAGAGGGATCCTTGTTGCTACTTTATTGATTCAATTGACTTAATGTTAAAACAAGTTTTGGGAGTACAGCCTATTGTCTGGATGAGTTACAAAGTCATGAACATTCACAATAAAAACAACATTATCGACATTTGAAAAGTTCTTCATAAGATAAAAACTAATCCTTTATTAATTGATACTGATGCCAAAGGAACCAGTGAATCAGTTTCGAGAAATTTCGTGGTTCGAGACGAAGAGCCAAAAGTTTACAGAGAGAATCGATAGAGAAAAGAACTAGTGTATTCTGTAATTGATTGGTGGTAAATGAGTGCATTTACAAATACAAGTATTTATAAGCTCAGTTATCGTGTAACTTCTCAACTAACTTTAACCACTCTTTAGTTCACATGCATTAGATAACTGCCTCCAATAGACCTTATGTCTGCTGCAGTGCTGCATTTGTATACATCTTGGTTAACTGCATTCTTCAGTTTATTTTGCTGTATCATGGAATTGAACTCATACCACGAGATTATGGCCCCTCAGCCTTAACCAGGCCAAAGAAACTGAGAATCACATCCTTTGTGACCATATTTTCTAGTAAAGTATTTTTCTCAATTGGAGCTGGTATTGGTGTCCGGAAAAATCCTAGTCAATTTTGTGTATTTGACGTGTAGTTGGGGTGGTAGTTCCATCATGTTCTCTTACAAGATTTTTTTTTTTTTGGTAATGGAATTTGACGTGAATAAGTGCTGCAGTAAACAGTGAAATGTTTTCTTGATGATGATGACGATCATGTTGTTACTGTTGTTCTTATAATTATTGTTTATCATGAGATGCAAATGTTGAAAGAAGCCTAACATTTGATTTTCTTTCCCATATAAATTGCGGGCAGATACTTCATAGTCTAGTAGGTATGTTTACTTAATCCGAAGCCTTTTGCTGTTTTATGTTTAGGTAGAACATTTTTATATTAAAATAACTCTTTTGTCTTTTTCCTCACGGTCAAATAGGTTTGGTAAGATCTCCAATATCAGCAACTCTGCCACAGATAAGTTCAAGATTATATGTAACCTGGGGAATTTTGTGGAGTTTCCCCGAGGTTAGTATTTTCCTTGGCTATTACTATGGCATTATGGAGCTTCTTTACTAATGACTGGCTTGCGGATTACAGGTCCGTACTCATATACTTGTTAGTTCCCTAGCGATTAGCTGGTGTATAACAGAGGTGAGCCTTACTTATTCGTACACCACAATTGTGTCCATGTTTGATTGTATTTCTTTGTAGTGACTTGAGATTTCAACTTCTGTGACTAATAGTTCATGCAATAGATTAAAAATCAATTCACCATTGGAAGAAGAAAACAAATTAAACACCAGTTCTCTTACCTAATATGTATGTTATGAAACTTTATTTCCTATATTTAGGGGATAGAGAAAAAGAATATTGGGCAACAGAAGGCCGATGGCAGTGCCAACTAACAGTAGTTTCGATGTAGAACCTTTGTGTTCCATTTGCAGTTAAATGTCAAAGCATCTTGCTAAAGTTAGCAGAAAGTATGTTCAAACTTATAGGCAGAGAATACATTTTTGAACAGTCTCTTAACTCTCAGCGCAACGCCTGTCTGTTCGCTCTCTTAACAACCAAACATTTATGATGCTAATTAATCTTACTTAAGGAAGAGTCTTACTTCATATTGTAAGCTTAGAAGCCCCTAGGGTGGACTTATGCATCATTATTAATTTATAATTCGTTAGAGCAATAAGAACAAATTTATGCTATTGCTTGATCACGTCGTAAAGTGATATTGTATCATTATTTTTTTTAAAAGTGATATTGTATCTGTGAGGATGTATGGGAGAAAATATTATTAATATTATTCTCATATGTTAAACATGATACAATGAACCCTATATATANTTGCAAGCCGATCATTAGACTTCACAAACTTTGTAGCAATATCTCCCGAGAGTATCTTTTCTCTGACAAAGTGACAATCAATCTCAATATGTTTAGTTCTCTCATGGAACACTGGATTTGACGCAATATGAAGAGCAGCTTGATTATCACACACAAGTCTCATCTAACTAATCTCACCAAATTTCAACTCCTTGAGCAACTGTTTGATTCAAATTAGCTCATATGTCGCCATAGCCATTTCTCGATATTCTGCTTCGGCACTAGACCAAGCAACCACATTCTGTTTCTTGCTCTTCCAAGACACCAAATTTCCTCCTACTAAGACATAATATCCAGACGTAGAACGTCTATCAGAAAGTGATCCTGCCCAATCAACATCTGAGTATCCAACGATCTGCTCATGGCCTGGATCCTCAAACGATAAACCTTTGCCTGGAGCTGATTTTATATACCGAAGAATGCGAAAAACTGCATCCTAATGACTATCACACGGAGAATCCATAAACTGACTCACAACACTCACAGGAAAGGAAATGTCAGGTCTTGTCACTGTAAGGTAATTTAATTTACCAACCAACCGCCTATATCTTGCAGGATCGCTAAGAGGCTCCCCCTGTCCAGGCATAAGTTTATTATTATTATTGATACCATGTGAGAATGCACGGGAGAAAATGTTATTGATATTATTCTCATATGTTAAACATGATACAATAAACCCTATATATATACATAACATGTCCTACTCCTAATACATATGGGATTAGGGTTATCTAATACTATTTACATAATTATTCTAACAGTATCATTATTCTCCTTATGCATCATTTTCCATCCACTAACTTGTCTCCCCAACTGAGGGACAAATATATTACTAAACATGCCAGTTCATGACTGTTTAACTGATAATATTCATTGTGAAAATAATGTTTTGATACTGGTGCTAGTTCACGTTCAAAGTAGTATTTTAATACTGGTGTTATCCTGTGCTCAACTTCAGATTATTCGATATTCATTTTTTGGTACAAAGGAGGCATTCGGTTCTGCTCCTTCCCGGCTCTTGTGGCTAAGGTATAACCATTTAACTTTTGCCAGCATAAACTAGTGTGGATGATGAGTAACACATTGGGTTTTTACCCATTTTCCACCTTTATAATAATAGACAGATACCGTTTTTAGCGTGTTCGTAATAAGTCTGATTTTCTTACTGCAGGTATAGTACCTTCTTGTTGTTGTACCCTACTGGCATCACAAGTGAAGTTGGTTTAATATATAATGCCCTGCCTTACATGAAGGTACAAAGATCCTCTTTTTCAATTTTTTTTCTTTTTCACTCGTAAAAGCAAATTAGATTAGCCATAGATAAGAGCATATTTCTATCAATTTATTGAGCTAGCAATATTAAGAAAAATTTAAAGACCATCTTTCTATCTAATTAGTTGCTGAAGAGTTGACGAAGAGCTTTCCCTCTGTTGATATTTTCTATTTCGTCAATAAGTGACAAATGACACTTGCACAAGTTTATGAAAAATGATGTTGGGTGATAGTACCAAAACCACCAATTATGTTCTATGTAGAGATTTCTAATTGCAGAGCTGTAAGGGCAGTCCGGTGCACTAAGCTCCCGCTATGTGCGGGGTCCGGGGAAGGACCGGACTACAAAGGTCTATTGTATGCAGTCTTACCCTGCATTTCTGCAAGAGGCTGTTTCCACGGCTCGGACCCGTGACCTCCTGGTCACATGGCAGCAACTTTATCGGTTACGCCAAGACTTCCCTTCTAATTGCAGAGTTGTATTGAACTTATATTGGAATTTGAAGTTTCTATTAGAAATACATACTTGTGACATTGTTTTACTTTCCCTAAGCCTTTCCAGAACACCTAAGGGCAAATTTCGAGAATATTATGTGCTAAACATACCAAATTTTGATTAACATACCAAAATTTGTATTAGTTCTGTTCTTGCAAAGATGTATAGGACTAGTTTAGGCTAATCGTGGATGAGACACTTCTTGCACGTTATTGTGATGCTTAAAGTATTAAGTAGCTTTCTTAGATATTCTTTTTAAAGTAAGAAACGGGACTTTGTGATATTCAGTGCTCGTTATGGCCCAAAGGTGTTCTCTGCTGACAATGCCGATAATCTTAACTCAAGTTTATTGGGCAGTTTTGGCTGAATATTTGTTCCTTGTTTGTGCTTCTGCTTTAGTTAGCATACTTGCTACATCTTCTGATCAAACTATTTTTCTAGGAATCTGAAAAGTATGCTGTTAGGATGCCGAACAGATGGAATTTCTCTTTCAATTACTACTATGCAGCACTTGTTTGCCTTGCCATCTATGTCCCAGGAAAGAACCTTATCATTCTCTTACTAAAAGCATCTGCTTTTATGGCTCGCATATGTCGCTCTGTCTCTTTATTCGTCGAGTTTACTACATTTCTTTACAAATTTTTTTATTAAAAGCTGTGAATTGAAATGATGTTGCAAAATGCAGGGTGTCCTCACCTGTACAGATACATGCTTGGGCAGAGAAAGAAAGCACTCTCTAAAACAAAAAAGGAATAGGCTTTATTTTTATGTCTAAATTCAGCTTCTTGGAATTCTATTTGGGCAGAAATGATGTAATTTTTGATTTTTTTCTGATCCATTGGAAACTTTTCACCTATTTTTTCTGATCCATTGGACTGTTCAAAACTTTCCACCTATATACAAATTTTATTAAATTTTTCGGCTACCGAATGTAAATAGTTTTTGGCCCGAGCTATAGGTGAAAAAAGCCCAATTTAGAAAACTACAGTCCAGGTGATAATATCAGATACTTCAATTAACAAAGAGGTCAGATCAAATATCAAAGTAAAGCACTTAAATTACACATGATAGAATTTCAACCAAGTCCAAATTAAATTACTTAATACTATAATTAAGTATTTTAGTATGATTGGCCATTGATTCTGATCGCATGCATTCAGCAATCTAACACAAACCCTAGCCATATATATAATCCCTCTGTTTCAAGGTGGATTGAACTGTCTAAATAGTCATTTTTAAGTATAGGGTTAGGTTTATTTCGCTTCTTCTATATATTCCCTTGGTTTCAATTTATGTTAAGAATGGGAGCCTTGACGTAATGTAATAACCCGAAATATTTTGATATACTTATTAATTGTGGGATTGAAGAATTAACTTCTTTTCTTTTAATATAGTTACTAGTATTAGTACCCGCGCGACGCACGGATAATCAAAAAGAATGATCTACACCGTAAAGTTTAATATGTTAGTGTTAATACCATCTTTACAACCAACATTAAAAATATTTTAAGACTCCAGTAAAACTTTCATTCTATCTCCTAATAAATGTTCTATAAAAAATAATGATACTATACAATTTGTTTGATATGAATGTTCCACGAAAAATAATGATGCTATACAATTTGCTTGATATGAAACATGTGCTTAAGGGAACATTTTTTTAGCAACTGCTCATGATATATGCAGTGCATTTTTCAAAAGTTGTCCTTTGTATTGAGGCAATGATGAAGGAACATGAATATTGTCAAACATTAGCTTATTCAGAATCAAAATGTATGCGGCAATGCATATGCAAAAACTGATTTCCTGCTAAGGCTCTCTCTTTATTATTGTCCGGCATTTGTGGTAATTGAAACTTTTACTCTTTCTACCATTCCACAAGCTTTGTCTATTAGCCTAACACTGTCTAAAGCCAAAGTTGCGGCAGAAAAGGGACAGGTCAATTGCGGAGAGCTGATAAATTCAACTATTCAAACCATAGATGAAACCGGTGGAAGGGTTGATTATGCTGAGGTGAGAACTTAAACAATAATAATATATTTCATATGGATATAAACAATAGAATACCAACTGGGAACTCAATCTGTTCCCAATATCAAAAATTGATGGAACCCCTGTAATTTTCAGTTTCAATTTATGCTTGCTGGTCTTAATTTTCAGATTGTTTGGTCCAACCACAAAGTTTTTCATAACGTACAATCTCATTTCATGTATTTTTAATTTGAAAATATGCATAACAGCTCTTCCAATAGTTGCATGAACTCGATCTCCCTAAAATAAAAAATGTGGAAAGAAATTTAAGTTAGTAATTAAGGCGCATAAATTGAAGAAAATACATCACAACTCGAAAAAAATAACAACATGTAAAAGAGTATGCACATTTTCATCTTGAATAATTAATTCAATTGAATTAGAATTTTCTAGTTTCTCACGGTCTGGAATGTGTCATAATCTAACAACACGAACCTTTAAATTCCAACTCATTTTGGACATTGATAGTTTACTGATATAGTTATAGTTTGAAGCCATACTTTGCAGAAGTTTGTGTGGAAGCTAAATCCTAAGCAATGTAGAGAAGCCAACCCTAAAGAAAAGTTGCTTAAATAAAGATTTCTATGAAAGACTATCATAGTAAATCAATTTTTATGTATATGAAATCCTAATATTTAAAAAAGGCATGTGTAAATGAATTTATATGTATGAGTTCTGAAGAAATGATACGAATCTTTCATTTTTTAGTTTTTGGCATTTTTTTTTTAATTTTCAACGTTTTTTTTTTGTGGTTAATTAAAATTTGTTAACCACCAAACCTTAATTTTTCTTGTCTTTTTCCTTTGTCCTCTTGTTTGTTTTTAATACTATTTTCGTTAATATAATATAAATATAAGATACAAAATGTTTATTTAATCATTTCATTCTTAAAAAAGAATACTGAACTGAATTATAAACAAAATTTAATTAAAAATACCTATAATAATGTATATTGTTCACAAATAAGATCAGATACAAAGCTTATACTAAATATAGAATTTCAACTGAAAGTTAATGTGTAAGATACAAAACAAAATTTTAATTGATTCTTTTTCAAAAAAGGATACCTACCATAATTGAATTATACATAATATTTAATAAAGATACCAAAACTCATAAATAATTTTTTTTATTTAATTATTTCTTTCTTAGAAAAAAATACCTACCATAACTGAGTTATACACAAAATTTAATTAAAGATACCTATAATAATAATAATAATAATAATAATAATAATAATAATAATAATAATATATATATATATATA